TCCCGTCCCCCACGGTCTTCGGCTAAGTTTCTCAAGATCCACATATGAGTGAAAAGATATGGTATCTGTCTTTGTCTGACTGACTTACTTCACTCAGCATCCATGTTGCTGCAAACGGCATGATTTCATTCTTTCTCATTGCCAAGTTGTATTCCATTGTATATATAAACCGTGTTGTCTTTATCCATTTGTCAGTTGATGGACATTTGGGCTCTTTTCATAATTCGGCTATTGTTGAAAGTGCTGCTGTAAACATTGGGGTACACGTGCCCCTGTGCATCAGCACACCAGTATCCCTTGGGTAAATTCCCAGCAGTGCTATTGCTGGGTCGTAGGGTAGTTCTATCTGTAATTTTTTGAGGAACCTCCACACTGTTTTCCAGAGCGGCTGCACCAGTTTGCATTCCCACCAACAGTGCAAGAGGATTCCCGTTTCTGCACATCCTCCCCAGCATCTAGTTTCCTGATTTGTTCATTTTAGCCATTCTGACCAGCATGAGGTGGTATCTCAGTGTGGCTTTGATTTGTATTTCCCTGATGAGGAGTGACGTTGAGCATCTTTTCATGTGTCTGTTGGCCATCTGGATGTCTTCTTCGGAAAAGTGTCTGTTTATCTCTTGTGCCCATTTCTTCACTGGATTATTTGTTTTCAGGTGTGGAGTTTGGTAAGTTCTTTATAGATTTTGGATGCTAGGCCTTGCTCTGATACGTCATTGGCAAATATCTTTTTCCATTCCATTGGTTGCCTTTTAGTTTGGTTGATTGTTTCCTTTGCGGTAAGGACGTTTTTTATCTTGGTGAGGTCCCAATAGTTCATTTTTGCTTTTAACTCCCTTGCCTTTGGACATGTGTCTAGTAAGAAATTTCTGCGACTGAGGTCCAAGAGGTTGTTGCCGGCTTTCTCCTCTAGGATTTTGATGGTATCCTGCCTCACATGTAGGTCTTTCATCCATTTTGACTTTATTTTTGTGTATGGTGTAAGAAAGTGGCCTAGTTTCATTCTTCACATTGCTATCCAGCTTTCTCAGCACTGTTTGCTAAAGAGACTGTCTTTATTCCATTGGATATTTTTTTCTACTTTCTCAAAGATTAGTTGGCCATACATCTGTGTGTCCAATTTTGGGTTCTTTATTCTATTCCATTGGTCTATGTGTCTGTTTTTGTGCCAATACCATACTGTCTTGATGATAACAGCTTTGTAGTAGAGGTTAAAGTCTGGGATTGTGATGCCTCCCGCTTAGGTCTTCTTCTTCAACATTACTTTGGCTATTCAGGGTCTTTTGTGGTTCCATACAAATTTTAGGATTGCTTATTCTAGCTTTGAGAAGAATCCTGGGGCAATTTTGGTTGGGATTGCATTGAATGTGTAGATTACTTTGGGTAATAGTGACATTTTAACCATATTTATTCTTGGAAACCATGAGCATGGAATGGCTTTCCATTTCTTTCTGTTTTCTTCAATATCCTTCATAAACTTTCTACAGTTTTGAGCATACAGATCTTTTATATCTTTGGTTAGGTTTATTCCTAGGTATTTTATAGTTCTTGGTGCAATTGTGAATGGGATCAGTTTCTTGATTTCTCTTTCTGTTGCTTCATTATTGGCATATAAAAATTGGTTTTGTATCCTGCAACTTTGGTGAATTCATGTATTAGTTCTAGGAGACTTTTGGTGGAGTCTTTCGGGTTTTCCATGTAGAGTATCATGCACACAAGGATATTTTTGAACGTGAAGTGGCACTGTTGAAAATCACACAGCGATGATGTGGAAACCATAATGTTCACTTGCCTTGTCTGCAACTCCCTGTAAGGCCTGGGCCATATTCACCCTGCTTCCATTCACTCTCTCTGCACCTGCACATCTGCTTGCTTTTCAGTCTTTTGTACTTTTCAGGTTCACTCCCCATGTTTGCTACCACCACAGGGCCTTTGTGCCTGACATCACTCAAGTGTCTGACTCCTACTGATCTTTTAGCCCTTAGCTTCTGCATGGCATCTCATTAAGTAGGCTAAAGGTTAAATCTTTTTTATATGTTCTTACCACAGTGACAAGTACAATTTAACATTTAATTATTTGAACGAATACTAGTAATAGACTGGTGATATTATATTATCGATACACCAGTCATAGAATGCAGCGGTCAGCACAATGGCAAAACAACCTCTACACAGCTGGCCCTTGACCAACATGGGTTTGAGCTGTGGGCCCGCCTATCTGTGGGTTCTTTGTGGTGCCAAACTGTAAAGGTACTTTCTCTTCCATGTGAGTTTCCTAACCTCTTCTCTTCTCTAGCTCACTGCGTTAAGAGAAACAGTATATAATACGTGTTAAGTTAACTTCTGGGGGGAGTCAGAAGTTGTGTGGGGATTTCTGACTATTGGGGGGGGGTTGGGTGCACCTACTGCCCATGTTGTTCAAGGGTCAAATGTATATTTAAATTCTGTATTTTAAGTAAAAAGAAACTGGCTATATGGACTCCAGTTTACTGTAAAAATACAGTCTCTGTCTTAGCACTGTTAATATGCTGTTTATTAATTTATTAAAAATACAGTAATTTAATACTCCACTTTAGTAATTCCACAGAGTAACCCAAAATTTGAAGGTAAAACATGGGTTCGTGAGAAGAGGCTGTCCTCAGTGAGAAACCCTTGGCATTTCGAGTGATAATATACAGAATTGGTGGATTCTGGAACAGATGATCTGGGTTTTAAATGATTTTACCACTCACTGTCTGGGTGGCCTTGAGCAAGTTACTTAGTTTCCCTGGGTCTCCCTTTTACCCATCTGTAGAATGAATATAATAATGGCATCTGGTATTTCATAGGGCTTTTAAGAAAATCAAATCGGGTAGTACCTACAAGATACTTAGAACAGTTTTTGGCACATAGGAGAAATTGAGTGACTACTAGCTGTTACTCTTATCTGTGTTATTGTTACTCTGTTGATTCATTTACGAGATATTTATTCAATATCTGCCTTGTTCCTGGCATTGTTCTAGGTGCTGGGAATTCAGATGTGATCAAGATAGGGCATGTTGTGCATTGGGTATGATCCGTTAATACTTCAGTTTCATTGTCTGAGAAGTATCCTGACTGAAATAAATGTCATGGTTTGTTGGGGCACATTGGTGGGGAGGAGTTGGGTCCACTTGAAGGTTGAGTCTGCAGTCACAGAACTGGGGAGCAGTGTAGGGCTGGGAAAGAGCACAGAGAAAGGGCCCTGAGATGGAAAGAGCTTAGCCTGGTTAACAGTTAAAAAGTGAGCATGGCTGGATTGTTTATACGTGAGTAGAGAGGGTAGGGGGCCTAACAGAGACAGGAAGCAGATGAGGCAGGTACGTGGTGGGGGGGGGGGGGGGGGGGGTTGTATAGAAAAATGACAAGCCATCTAATTCTCCTTAATTTACTGCTGAAGAAGCAGAAAGCCATGTGCCCTGAGCAGGGTCATGTAGAAAATTAGTGATGGGGCTGGAACTAGAAGCTAAGTGTCCCATGTTCATATATGCATGTGTGTGTACATGTGTGTATATATACATACATGTGCACACACGTTTTAACTATTGAAGCATAGGTATAAAAATTGCACACATGTTACATAGAACAATTTTCTGTGAAGTTTCACAAAGTGAGCCCCCCTGTTACATGCCCCCCCCTGCCCCTTACACCTCCCTGTTACACCCCTCCACTGTTCTATCCCGCAGAGGTAAATTGGTCCTGACCTCTGACACCACACATTAGTCCTGCCTGATTTTGAACTGCTATGAACTTTTGGATGGAAGTGTATGCTGTAGTAACTTCTTTCTGTCTGGCTTCTTGGCCTGCACATGTCTGAGATTCATGTGTGGGGGTGTGCGTGGCAGTAGTTGTTGCGTTCCCACTGCTCTGTAGTCTTGTACTGTCGGAACACGTGGAGGTTTCCAGTTTACTCGCCCACCGGAAGTCCCTAAAGAGACAGGGTGTGTGTGTGTGTGTGTGTGTGTGATGAAAGATGGATTGTGATTCCTGTCATTTATGTGTGCGTGTTAATCTTGCTTGTCTTTTGTTTTTTTAGCCAGTTGAAGTCTCTATGGAAACATTTCTTTTAGAGCCCACTTTGATACCAAGTGGGTATCCCTTGGTCACTTTGAAAATAAAATGCCTGGTTGAAACCCAGACTTGCATGACTAGAGATCACCCACTATGCCCCTTTGTTAAAGAGGTATTAATCATAAATGGAAATAGGTTGGATGAATTTGTCACGTTTTCAAATGGTGCTGATCATTGAGCTTTTCAGCCTTTTGAAATATTATCTAGGGTATTACGTGCTTCCAGGAGGTCAAGGATGATTGGCTACTTAATTGGGCCAAATAGCCATCATTTATACTTGTTAAAATTAGGTCTCTTTAAATAAGTGATTGATTAATTGGATGTATGCCGTTTTCATGTGTATTTCATTCAATTTTTTTTCTTTCTCTCTCTCTCTTTTTTTTTTTTTTTTGAACATTTCAGATGATGTCGTGCCGTATTTTAAGACAGAGCCAGGCCTGCCGCAGATTCACCTGGAAGGCAACCGCCTTGTTCTCACTTGCCTCGCTGAAGGGAGCTGGCCTTTGGAGTTCAAGTGGATGCACAATGACAGTGAGCTCACCACCTACAGCAGCGAATATAAGTAATTGATTGCTTGAAAATAAGATTCCGTTTCAGGCTGATGTGTTTAGAGTATTTGCCTTTTGGGCCATTATAGCACAAGAGGTGAAAATATTTGATTGAATTTCTAATGCATTAGGATTAAAGGGATAGATTTAATTAGAATGCGATTTAATATTCTGATCGACATTGTATTTATACCTAGGAGGTGTATCATTATATTTGTAAAAGGAAGTCTGTTAGCGAAATTACCAGACTGAGAAAAGTTGTAGTTACAGAGCTTCTGGAGCTCTGAGTCGTCAACAGAAAACTGACCCGGCTAACTTTCAGAGTCAGGACAGGGAGGATGGAAGTGTGGGGGAGGGGCGTGAGCACAGCATCTCATCCAGCAAGGATGTTCACTCGAGTCCTGGGTGTGGCTGCAGTGAGCCCAACACCGGGCAGAGAACAAGTGGTGAGCGGGCACGAGGACGAGATGCAGCCACATGGGAGGTGTGGCTTCACCCAGCACCAGTGGCACCAGCTCTTGAGCCTCCGTGTCTCCTTGTGGTGCCAAGGTCTTTCGGGTTCGAATCTCAGCTTTAGCTTCCGTTTCTGTGTGGGCTGGTTATACCAGATGCAACAGTTCTGAGGAGGATGGGGAACTGGTGACTTCCTAAAAAGTCCAAAAGGTCCCCAGATCAGCGCAATCAGCAATGTCATGCTCTTATTTAACTAAGAGAATTGGCTGTTCAGAGTTGTTTTAAATAGAGTAATGAGTTCTCAACGTGGGGCATAACCCATCACCTACTCTCTTGAAAAGTCAGAGGTTTGGGGCACCTGGCTGGCTCCGTGACTCTTGATCGAGGGGTTGTGAGTTCAAGCCCCATGCTGGCTGTAGAGACTACTTAAATAAACTTAAAAAAATAAAAAAATAAAAGAGGGGCACCTGGATGTCTAAGTCCATTAAGAGTTCGATGCCTGATTTTGGCCCAGGTCATGATCTCATAGTAGATCAAGCCCTCCTCAGGCTCTGCTTTGACAGCACAGAGACTGCATGGGATTCTCTCTCTCCCCCTTTTCTCTTTCTTTCTTCCC